TTCGACGACCAAACTGTAGACGGTTTATGTACCGTATGCAACCCAGCTTCCTACACACACACACACACACATTAACATATGGTGACCCCGAACTTGGTCAAACCTTTCAAACTGTCAGACAAGCTACAGTGAAAGGATTCGATCTGGACATCAGATTGAAGCAGTCAACAGGACATCTTCAATAAAAATTTGGCACCAGGCCATAAACTTACGGTAGCATCTCCTACCAATAAGTATCACTTTGGCAAATCTCACATATTCAGGTTATCATCCAACAGAAAAACAGCTATAGAATTCGATTACCACCAAAGTAATCAATTTTTGTTGTTCCGTGCGTTACACTGATTGGAAACAGCACAAATCCCTCCATCCAACACATCACCTGTACTATTACCTCTCTGACCGACAACGGTTGCGATTCGGAGCGTATCCAGCTGCAAAGCAAATAAAACACTCCCAACGGGTCAAAAGTAATAAGTACAAACAGATATAATGGATACACATATGGAGGCAGAAGCTGCCGCTACAATATCTACATGGGATCCGATATTGATTGTCATTATCAGAAACAAACTGGATGGAAAAAATAAGGCCTTTTATGAGCAATCATTGGGAAGCTCAAAGGACATTCAGGCGCAGGATACGATGCTTCAGTTCTTGGAGCAAAGAATTCGGGTTCTAGGAACCAGTAAGAAGCCACCAGCATCAAGGAGAGAGCCAAAAGGCACGACATGTGCATCAGCAAACACAGGGAGAGCGCGAGCACCCTTATGCACATTCTGCAAGAAAGCAAGCCATTGGCTCTACGGATGCGAAGAATTTCGCTCCAAATCTCCATCAGAACGACTAAATTGGGTACAAAAACAAAAAATGTGCGTTAATTGTTTTAGAACAAATCACAAAACAAACGCATGCCCTGGTCGAAACTGCTTCAAGTGTGACAAGAAGCATTTGGAAACAGCATCAGGCGCAGCTTCAGAATCAAGAGGCCCGACGGTTGGTGCAGCAAGTAACAATAGTTACAATCTTCTGGCCACAGCAAAGGTGGCAGTAGAACCCAACAACGGGCAGGTTGCTAATTTCAGAGCACTGCTAGATTCAGGATCACAGATAAACTTGATCTCTGAACGAATGGCATCAATGTTGTCACTCAAACTAAAAGACACAACATTACGGATCGAAGGAATTGGAGGTTAATCAAAGACCAGCAGAGTACGAGTAAATGTGCTCATGAAATCCCTTCACAATGGTTTTACGCAAAGAATTGAAGCTTTCGTATTACCACAGATAATAGCTGATCAGCCAGCTCAGGCACTCGATTCAGAGAGCTTAAACGTACCAAGCAAGATCTCACTGGCAGATCCAAACTTCCATAAGCCAGGCAAAATCGACATGCTAATCGGAGCCGAGCATTACTACTCGCTGCTGCTACCAGATCAGCTAAGGACAGGAGGGCCGTTGCTACAAAACACGAAACTGGGATGGATTGTGGCAGGAAAAGTCAAATCTGCCCACAATTCCTCACCCATTTGTGCAACGGGAGTAAACGAGCTCATGGAAAGATTCTGGACTCTGGACAATCTAGAGACGGAAGACCAACCACGCACTCCAGTGGAAGCACGGTGCGAAGCTCATTTTACAGAAAATCTTCAGACAGCTGGTCCTTTGAGCCGGAGCGTTGCGAAGATCCATTTATTTGGATGCTGAGTTTTTAGCCACACCGTGTCAGCCTTTGTGTGTGTTACCTGACACAGTGTTTCTGTTTTATTGTAAAGCTCCCATTTTCCGAACACCCTTCAGCCCTGAAGGAGTCGTTGAAAGCCGCAACAAAAAGATTCCTAGCGTTGGAGCGGCGAAGCTCAACAGAAACTTGGAAGAGTTATGTGAACTTCATAGAAGAGTATGAAGGACTAGGACATATGAAGATTGTGCCAGCATCAAAAGTTCCCAAAAGGCACTACTTCATTCCACATCATTGTGTACTCAAACCTGAGAGCACCACCACAAAGCTTCGGGTAGTATTCGATGCCTCATGCAAATCAACAAGCGGGAAATCTTTGAACGACATTCTGCAGGCTGGACCCACCGTTCAGAGCGAACTTATGTCCATTCTGCTACGATTTCGAATTCATAAGTACGTATTCACTGCGGACATAGAAAAGATGTACCGGCAAGTGTGGATCAATCCGGAGGATCAATTCCATAGTACTTCTTTCAGAGACGCACTTCACCTTTAAAGCAAATACAACTTTCAAATAAGGGGTTATTTGTACTACAGATCATTCGTGGAAAAGCAGAGGCTGGAACAGGCATCTTAATTAAGACCTGCCACCGTGATTTGCAGTAATTCCGACTTAGTCTATGAAATGCGATACACGTTAAAAGACTCGCTGTCTACATAGAACATGTTTCGACTTTAAGAACGAAAAGTCGTTTTTGAAGTTTGGCGCCCTTAGATCCCTTGATCCAGCTTATCAGAAGTTCTCGATCCACTGAACTTGGACCGTCGAAAAAGAAGAAGAAAATACATTGAAGGAAAAGTGTAAGGAACAGGTTACGTACAAAAATAAATAAGCCGGCAAGACTTAGAGAAGATTGAGTGTTTTTCTTACGGACGGATACCCTATCGTGGCTGCCCTGCCTCATCTGTTCTACAATCCCCCCAACCTCAAAGGAACATCCACTCGGCACGCCTATTATTCTGGATCAGCGTCAATAGCCGAGGCGAAAGAGCCACATATGTCTGTCCGTCCGTCTTGTTTGATGCATAGCTCTCAGAGACTATGAGAGCTAGACCAACGAAATTTTGTATCCAGACTCCAGTGATATCACACTGAATCGACTTTGTTTCAACGCCCCTATCCGCCCTCAAAAAAGACAAAAATCTATGGCATCCACAATTTTAAAGATAGGAGAAAACCAAAACCGCAGACTCATAGAGAATGACTAGACTGCAGAATCGGAATTAGATCGGATAATTATTATAGCCAGACGGATTTCCGCTTCCTCATTTTCTGTCTCTCTCTCACACACTCTTTATCGTGCCTTATGTTCGCTCTATGGCGGAGGGGAGCCCATACTGGAGCCCTTCGGTCAGGCAGTCGGTCAGTCCTCGTTGAGTCGGTCAGCACTCTTCAAGACAGTCGGTCAGTCCTCTTCGGGCGAAGGCACATAACACCAAAAAAGTCAGTCGGTTTTCACCCAAATAAACGCCAAATTCTAACCTTAACAAAGGAACAATTTTTAATTTATAAATGTGAAGTCAGAGTTACCGAAAAAGCTCGGCAGCTTCCAAAAGTAACGAAATACAAATTTTCAGCTTTTAAGAACCATCAAATTTGTATTTCCCGGCTATCCCAAACATTTTATTTATGAAATAATATCTGTTCAGTTGCAGAAATATGCTTAAGCAATAGTTTATAATACACGTCGGCATAACACAGTGGCACCGTGACACAGTGTTCTATTTAACATGTAATATAATACCTCACGACAACACACTGGCCACTGCAGTGAGTTCTGCTGACAATGCACTCTCTCCGCAGACGGCGAAGACAGCGGGGCAGTTGCTGACCATCAAAATATCGCAATTGCCCACCAGACACTAAAATTATCCATAATACACAAAACATATATTTTACAGACTCAGCACTTTTGTACCTTTTATTGCCTATAAATAAGAATCAGTTTTATCAATAAAATCAGTATCAGAAACAGTACCATAACTGGCTGTCACTCATCTGTCGCCGTGTCTTCAGACCCTCCCTTGCGCACCGTAGGATACCCACTCCGCAGTCTAACAGGTTCAAGTTCTAGTTTCGACGACCAAACTGTAGACGGTTTATGTACCGTATGCAACCCAGCTTCCTACACACACACACACACATTAACAATATCAAAATCTTTAAAGTCGAAATCGTTGATCAATCTTTGTGAGCTGCCGAACACAACATATGCAAGCACAATTTTATTTCGACGGACCGTCGACCTGGCATAGTTCCATTCGTTGCCTTGCATGTGTATTACATATAGGTAATCGGCTACCAATTTAAAAGTTTAGACAGAAGCATAGTTGTTCAACGAAAGACAGCTATCCAAGACAGGTTCAGGGCTTTCAATGCAATCACACGACTTCCTAAGCCAGGAAAAGACAAAACGCAGCCATCGTCGTCCAGACCAATAAGCCTGCTTAAGTAAGCAGGTAAGTATCTTTCAAAGCTATTTGAAAAAGTCATCCTGCTGCGCATCAGCTCAGACATCCAACATAGCAACATAGCAACAACTAGCAACATAGTTCGATCTCACCAATTCGATTTTCGAGAGAAGTAAGGAACAATTGCGCATGTCAACCGCATCACGTCAGAGATACCTACAGCATTTGAACAACGGGATTATTTATTTATTTATTATTTACCGGCACTATTTCTAGTCGTCGCCCAAGAATTCGACCGATAATGGGTAACAAAATTGAAGTACTTATTTTCTCTTTGAACCAAACCGACTTATAAGGAGGGGGAACGTTGTGAGTTACTGCTGCGACCTCAACTCTACATTTATACCCGATACTTAGTCAGCATTGAGCGACAAAGTGTGCGCGCGGGAGAGACTGAAAACGTGCCTGAATGTGTCGTCGGGCGCTAGCAACTAGTACAGTATTGTCATTCTCTATGATTGTACATTTTTATTTTTCCCGTATCTTCTAAATTGTGGATGCCACAAATTTTCGTCCTTTAAGAGGGCGGAGCTGGGCGGAGCTGGGCGGGACGGACAGACATGACAGACAGAATATATATATACTTTATGGGTAACGCTTTCTTCTGTACGTTACACACATCTACATTCACCACAAATCTAATATACCTATACTCATTTTTAATACCGTGTATAAAAGTTCAAACCGACAAAACATGACAATGCTTGTTGTAATAATTATCCGATTATCTTGTGCTTGTTAAATACATACTTCTCTCAATCTACGAGTAACTGGTACACAGTCTTACCTGGAATATCTCTGAAAATGGTGGCCGTTAAGCCCTTAAACGCTCCACGTACACCTTCTGTTTTTATTATATATCTAATGCAGTTGATGGGCCCAGTGAATTTAATTCCACTGTCAATCTGTGACGATAATTGAAGCCTTGTTTTCGCCAGCTCCATCGGTGCACATACAAAGCTTTGCGCTAGTCCGGCAATGGAACCAGCATAAAAGTGTGAAAGGAGTGAATTGGGTTCATCTGACAAACGTTGAATATTTCCATATACTCCGAAAACGATTGAGTTTACTAATCCAATTCCTGACATTGGACTGCTTATTCCTCTATATAAACCTTGAATATTATCTTTTTTTATTATTTTTTTTAAGCAATGAAATGTTCCTTTATATTTCGGATTCTTAGGGTCATCAGTTTGCAAATGAACTTTCACAGTATCTAATGGGTGGCCAACAAGTACTCCAGCAGCACCTTTAAATAAAAAAATGCAAATTGTATTTAGTCCTACACTATAAAGTCCTAATCAATAAATAAACTATGCATATAAATAAACCATATTAACTCTGAGTGTGGATACAAAATTTCGTTGGTCTAGCTCTTATAGTCTTTGGGAATTAGGCGCTCATAGCGACAGACGGACGGACGGACAGAAGGACAGACAGACATGGCACTATCGACTCGGCTATTGATGCTGATTAAGAATATATATACTTTATGGGGTCGGAAACGCTTCCTTCTGGTCGTTACACTCATCCATTTTCACCAAAAATCTAATATACCCCTATACTCATGTTGAGTATCTGGTATAAAAATACTTAACCAGTGCAGTCCTAAAATAGCACTAATATAAACATGCACTCAAATTACTGCTTAAACCACTTATACAACAGTCAAAGGAAAACAATTTATTATTATTACCAACAAGATGGACGTTAAGGTCCTTGGCGATGTCCCGGTTACGGATATACTACTCAGCTCTTTCCTCTGGAATGTCATGATCCTCGCGAGGTTAGTTTTGGCGGCAATCCCATACACCTGAATGTCGTACTTCCAGGCAGGGGGTAGTATGGCTTTGTAGATTAGGACGTTGTTATACCGGATACTCAAAATGAGTATTGGGGTATATTAGATTTGTGGTGAAAATGGATGTGTGTAACGTCCAGAAGGAATCGTTTCCGACCCCATAAAGTATATATATTCTTTATCAGCATCAATAGCCGAGTCGATTGAGCCCTGTCTGTCTGTCCGTCCGTCCGTCTGTCCGTCTGTCTATCCGTCCGTATCAGCGCCTAGTGCTCAAAGACTATAAGAGCTAGAGCAACGACGTTTTATATCCGGACTTCTGTGATATGTCACTGCTACAAGTATATTTCAAAACTTTGCCCTGCCCACTTCCGCCCCCCAAAAAGGGCGAAAATCTGTGGACCACAAATTCAGAGATACGAGAAAACTGAAAACGCAGAATCGTAGAGGATGTCTATATGTTCTTGAGTGTAAAATCTAAACCAGATCGTAACATTATCATAGCCAGAATCAAGAAAACAATTTCATTCTTTCTCGCTCTGTCTCTATCTAACACACAGGTTTCATGGTCGGTTTTGCCAATTGCAAAATATGAGTTCAAGGATCTCAGAACCTATAAGAGCCAGAGCAACCAAATTTGGTATCCACACTCCTGTGATATCGGACCTTGACCGTTTTGTGTCAAAATTTCGCCGCACCCCCTTCCGCCCCCACAAAGGACGAAAATCTGGGGCATCCACAAATCTCAGAGACTATTAACGCTAGAGTAACCAAATTTGGTATCCGCACTTCTGTTAGATCTCACTATAAAACGTATATCTCAGAATTTCGTGTGTGTGATTCCTACGCTGCTCCACGATTTTCCCAAGCAGGAAGACACCAGAGCTAGAGCCCATTCCTAAAGTGTGCGTCACCACTGCACACTTATCAGGGTTTATGGAGATGTTCCATCGACAGGCCTAGTTTTCAAACACCTTGATGTATTGCTGTAGGTTGTCTGTGGCATCATAGACACAGCTATGCAATAAACTCAAACTTTTTTAAACAAAACCGACTTAAACAAATTTTTTATTTATGGATTTATTTGAAAATTAAAAACAAACAATTTTGTTGTTTGTATGTATTTGAATGTAATGTCTTTGCAGACGTAAGCTTCCATTTTTCCATATAACATAAGAATTCTGGTGAAATACTGAGCTTCTTCTGCAGCGTGGATTTAGAACGCGAAATATTTTCTGTCTAAATAGGGGAACCCGATTACGGCCTGTGGTTAAGCGATAAGAAACCGAGTTTTAATTTAGTTTATGACCGTTTGGAATATGAGACAGACAGGCCACTATTCCAGACGACGAAACATGTAATTCCGGTGATGATCGATCTTGATGTGTTTACTGCTATGCAGACGATCCTCCCTCGCAGCTTTTGTCGGACAACGAACGTCGAGAAAGGGCGATACAACAACTAAAATCTGAGGGAGAAACAAACAAGCAAAAAAATGCTACACCATCTGGGTGTTTAAGAACTTCAATTCTGTAGAGCTAATGAATCGGCCCTTAAAGCGTTGTAGCTTCGGTTTTAGCGTTGTAGGTTACCATCTGGGAAAACTCTAAGCTTTAAAATCCAAGCCGATACCTTTTGACTATTTTATTTCACGGAATTTACATTAGTGTCTTGTTGTTTTATATTTTATTCATACATCTATATCTATTTTAGGCTGGCAAAAACCCTCTAGCTGAACCCTCCACGAGGGTGCCGGCTGGGCAATGGACACTGCATTATCCCGGGCGAGGATAATGCACTTGCCTTGCCCGGGGTAATGCAGTGTCTAGCTAAGGCTATGGTCCATCGTCTTCCCGATCTAAAGTCAGGGGAACTGAACCAAGACCATGGCTAGAGGTGCCTGGCGGCCAGGCATAAAACGCTAGGGGGTGGTCCCCCCGATAAACATTAACCGGTATGCACCTTCGGGCCAAATATGGAGGTAGATAAGGAGCAAACACGGGTTGGGATGTCAACCCAAACGTCGGTGGAAAGCGTGACTGCTACCACCGGCGGGCACGGGGAGGAGCAATCCTCTCTGCGTGTCGCCAGCGGTCAGACCTCGGGCATGGCGGGAGCACGTCATGTCAGTTGTAATACTACTGCCACAAAAACGACGCGTTGCAGGGTGAGCCGCGCGGGTGCCGTTGTCGATGCAGACTCGGACCTGGAGAGCGTGCTATTCCTTAGCAAGACCGAAGAGGAAAGCCTTCTCCGCTCGCCGGAACCAGGTACCAGCTCCCTGCGTAGGGAAGGGCCGAAGCGTTCCAGGGAGGGGATGAAGGCAAAAGCTCAGTATAAGGCGGCCCTCAAGTTACTGAGCCGGCTACAGGGCAAGGCGGATATCTCCCAAGAGGAGAAGTCCAAGCTAGCCTGGGCTGAGCAACGGGTACAGGAGGGCCGCGAATACTACGCGCAGTTGCCGCAGATGAAGGCAACAAACGGTGGATTCGCCAACAAGGTGGAGGAGATGTTGGCCACCAAGACGCAACGCTCGATCGAGAGTGCTGCCAAAGACACTCCGGCGAGCAAGCGGCAACGTGGGCCCAAGGTGGCCACCCCCCAGCCGAAGACGAGGAAGCCGAGGGTGAAGGCCATGAGCGAGGTGTCCAAGAGACATCTCATTGTAGCCTTGATCGATCGCAGCGATGAGAACGGTAAGATGACGGCGGCGCAGTGGAAGTTAGTCCACGCGCAGCTCGTCGAGGCACTGTTCTCGCGAATGGAGGAGGACCCTAGCGCTCCCATGCCCACGTTCGATGGAGCGGGATGGCTGAACGGGGTCAAAATCCTTAAGTGCAACGACGACCTAACGCGGCAGTGGCTGGTGCAGAAGGTTTCCCTACTGTAAGCTCTGTGGGAGGGGGCCAAGCTGGAGGTGGTAGACAGGGAGCTGATCCCGTCCATACCAAAGGCAAAGGTGCTCTTCCCCATTGCTGTCCAGGGGGAGCGAGCATTGAAGCTGCTGCAGAGGCGAAATCCGGACGTGCCAACGGCTGATTGGAAGGTTCTGCATGCCGGTAGCCCACTACCCAACGAGGGGGGCCAGCACGTGATCCTCCAGATCAGCAAGGTGGCGGAGGACATCCTGTATCCCAAGTTCGGGAAGATGGCGTGGGGCGTAGGTAGCGTATACCTACGGCTGAAAAAGCGCCACCCCGAGGATAAAGATGCGCACACCCTCCAGGCAGGCGAGGTCGAGAAGGACCTAGGTCTGGAGACCATAGTCCCAGGGTCTTGCGCTGGACGACTCGGAGGAGGAGGAAGACGGTGACGGTGACCTGACAATCAAAGTCAACCCGTCATGCGAGGTTGAGTTAGCCACCCATGACACTAAGGGTGCTGCAACTCAATCTCCATAGAAGCAAGGTAGCGTCGGCGGAGCTCCTCATTGCCATGGAGCAAGGGCCCGCCGACATAGCTTTAGTCCAGGAGCCGTGGATTGCGTCAGGCAACTCTGTGGCCGGACTAAAGTCCTCAAATTACAGCCTTCTCTACTCAACATCGGTAAGCAGGAACAGAACCGCCGTACTCGTACGGAAGGGAATCCATGCTCATCTTATGTCTCATTACAGCACGGATGACCTGACGGTGGTGATGCTGGAGAGCGAGGAAAAGCGCCTAATGGCAGCTTCCTGCTACATGGCACACGACAGGCCCGCCCCGCCGGAAGAACTTAGGAGTCTGGTGACAGAAGCCGGCTCCAAAAATCTCCAACTCCTCATCGGTGCAGACGCCAACGCCCATCACAATGTGTGGGGAAGCCCTGACACAAACGATAGAGGTGAGTCCCTCCTAGACTTTATCTTATCCACTAACTTAGATGTAGCAAACGTGGGGGAGGAACACACCTTCGTGGGTCCCACTTCGTCAAAAGTGCTAGACCTAACTCTTGTCACGGGAAAGAGTACCTTGGTATCTGACTGGAGAGTCCTCGAAAGACCATCCTTCTCAGACCATAAGTACATTCAGTTCAAGTGCAAATTCAAACACTCTTCGAAGATAACAGTCTATAGAAACCCCCGAAACACAAACTGGGTAAAGTTTATAAAGACTGTTACTACGAAACTCGCGAATCTGGAATCTGGCTCAGTGAAATCCGCGGAGGATATAGAGAAGTCCCTAAAGACCCTATCCAACGAGTTACTGAACGCCTACCATGCATCATGCAAACCCTTGAGAACGAAGAGGAGGTCCAAGCCACTCTGGTGGAACCGAGATCTCTCTCTCCAAAGGAACAACTTCAAGGAATTCTTCAAGATCGCCAAACAAGCGAACGAAGAGATTGTCAATGAGGAATATAAAATCCTACTTAGGAGCTACAAGAAGGAAATACGTAAGGCACAAAGGAACTCGTGGAGACACTTCTGCTCCAACATTGAGAAAGTGCCCGAAACCGCTAGGCTCCA